TATCAACGACTACTGGTTCATCTGAATCAACTGCAAAGGATTCATTGCATCCAATATTGGACGATAACCTAATAATAATCAATTAGGCTATTCATGCATTGTAAATGTGATTGATCCTTACCAGTACAACGACAGATATTACCATCAAAATTGTCCTCAACAATCTGCTTTGTTGGTTCAGGAATCTTTTGCAGTAAACTAAAGAGAAACAGTAACTTTATGCATGAATACAACAATCTTACATTCAAAAATAGAGCAATTAAAAGGAGCTAGTTACCTGTACATGCTCATGACCATGCCAGGGGTGCAGTAACCACACTGGGTTCCATTGTACTCTGCAATCCTTTTCTGCACAGGATGAAATCCTTTCTTAGAGCTTTAGAAAAAAAGGAAATTCAAAATACAAACTGCTTTCTACAGGTTCCTCAAATTCACCAAATTAATTAATACAAGTTAATGCATAATGCTTGAAGTATGTACTATATAGCTAATGCTAACCTGCCAATTCCTTCAACTGTAGTAATAGACCAACCATTAATGGAATACAAAGGACACAAACACTATAAATATTTCGCAGATAAATTCATAATTAATTAAATTAATTATTATCAATTAATTAGGTTAATTAACCACACCTATTTAGCACAATATTATTTTACAGAAGGAAGCTCAGGTTTAGCTCTTACTCACAGAGTTAATGGCTAGAGTAACCTGCTCGTTACTCAAGAGGTCCGTCTTAGTTGCAGAAACTACGCAACACCCGCAGCCTCCTTCACCACACATTCTCTTGGTCCCAGAGAGCCCATACTGGGACCGTATCCACTCGTTTAGACTGGTATTAGGACTAGGATCAGTCAGCTCCACTCTCCGTCCATTTAATGTAAAACTAACAACTTTAAGAGGAAGGATTGTCGACATGATTGCCAGAGCAGAATGGAGTGAGAAATGGAGCTCACAATCTCGTGTGATCACGTGACCACCTGCAAAGATAATGAGCCACACCCTTGGGCTAACAGCTCACAATGACCTCTTGGATTATCTGTATTTTATTGGGTGCATTAATTTTTACTTCAGGTGCAAGTGGTAAAAAGAATGTCCTTTTCTTTGCAGTTGATGATTTGAGGCCACAACTTAATGCTTATGGAGTCGATTTCATCAAAAGTCCCAACATCGATGCTCTAGCATCAAAATCAATGTTATTTGAGAGAGCATATTGTCAGATAGCAGTCTGCTCACCATCACGTGCTTCATTGCTTACAGGACGCAGGCCAGATACCAATCATGTGTGGCAAATTGCAGCTGATGAGTATTGGCGTACAGTACCTGATGCTACCAATGCAACTA